AAAATATAGATTCAATTTTAAATAGCGAAAACAGTTGACAAATTTATTATCATGGGTGTTATTGTTTGAAATAAAAAATAATTAATTAATCTGCTCCAAAGATGACACCATAAATATGATTGTGACATTTTTTCTAACGTCTTGTTTACGCAAACTGCGCTCTTCGTCGATTTGCTCATGTTGTGTCCACGCAATGTTGCCAGTAGAGCTTACCCTAGACTTGAGAACTTTACCCTTTGGGAATTTTCTATAGAAATATTTTTATATGTTAAACAATGATCATAGAATCTCTTATGTATCAGTTATATAAAACAAAATTGCTTCTAAATTGTATAGTACTGTAAGAAATTTTTTTCATTGATGAGTAAACAAGTTCTGCTTACTTTGTATACGTTTGCCCATATTTTGGAAGGATTCAACACTATAGCATTGTTATTGATAACATGCTTTGTCTATGTCTATTGCATGAATAAAAAACAGGCTGGTGTCAAATTACGTACCGTCTGTTTCACTTGTCAAACATGTATTATATCTCATTTCCTACTTTCTAATGTTTCTAACGAAAGTGTTTAAATTCATTTTCTTCTTCATCAGTGTAGCCTGTAGAAGTTCACTTCTGGATATCTCCAGCTGTACGGATGGAGAGGTTTCACCTTAATCGCCACTCTTGGCATGCGGATTGACGATCGCAGTATCAGACGTTCCACACATTTATTTATTTTTTAAATACACACAATAAAATATTCACGCATAACAGCTTGTTGGCAGAAAGATTCTCTCTTGCTTCCTAACATGCAATATATATACCTATATATACTAACATGGCATATTTAATATATATATATATATATATATATATATATATATATATATATATATATATATATATATATATAGCCATGGTAGCTTTAGCTTAACGCTCGCTGTAAATATAACAGAACACGAGTAGCCCGGGTTCGATCCCCGCCAATACTAATGAAATTGTTAACTGCAATTTTAAGTGCTGATTAACTACGTGCTCGGTGGTGAAGGAAAAAATCGTGAGGAAACCTGCATATCTGAGGAATAAGAAAAAATAATAATTCGAAGACGTGTGAAGTTCGCCAACACGTATTGGGGCTGCGCGGCGGACACTTCCTTGCCCTAAAACCGTCTCAGAAATGAGGGGGAGGCCTGTGCCCAGCAGTGGGACGTATATAGGCTGTAACATTACTTTTACTTTTATATATTGGTGTGTATATACTTTCGTATGTTGGTGTGTATATACATATAATTTGTGTTGTATACATTTGACGCTGCTTCGTGTCGCCAGCCGAAGTATTTTGCGCCTGGCCGTAAACGAGATAATAATATCGTACGAAATAATTTCCTATATCCGTCGGAAGCCATCTTTATGGCATATCTAACTCTCACTTCGTTAGATATCCTCGAGACGAAATTGAAAGTAATTTTTAAAAAAAGAAATTTTTTAGTTAGTAATATGCGGTTACAGCTTTTTACATTTTTTGAGGAAGCAGGAATAGGGATTTTTGCACTGTCTGGTAACACTGGCTACCTTGCACTTCCAGCGTTTCACACGGACCTTTCTTCCCGCGTCACCGCTACGTCAGACAACATGCTGCAATTAGAACAGTTTTTTTACCGCCAGTTGTGACTGATTTAACGTTTCTAATAAGTAAATATTGCTTTTGAAAGCTGATGTGATTGTTCCAATAACTAGTTAAATGTCTATATATATATATGATTGACTCGTTGATCTATATTTGATTGACGGGTTTGTTTCCAATCCCGGGTCAAAGAAAGAAATTCTCAGTAGCAACTAGCCTCGGAGGTCCTGCGCCTGATCTCTCTTCGGTCGTGTCGGTTTACCGTCCCATTCGACTATGAGAGTGAGGGTATAAAGAAACACCTGTGCTTGCGCATACACTTGGGCACTAAAATTCTGTCCTGCGCCGGTGGCTAGTCTCCTTTAAGGCAGGCCGCCGTGACCGAAATTCGGACTGGAGGACGGAGTTTTGACAGATTTTTTTCTAATATTATAGTAACCTTCAGTAATATTGTACACTATTGAAGGTTATCTTTTTGATTCAACTTGGGTTTATTGTGATAATTTTACATTTTATAACGTAGACATTTACTTGGAGAAGAGATGATAAGAACAGTAGGAATTCTGAGGCTAAGAGGCAAAAAAACAAAATCAGTCGCACTACCACAACCACTAGACCAGACAGTAGAGTAGGCAGTCGTACTTTGTACTAATGATATAGATGGTTTAGATACCGGTAATTTACATTCTTTATAAAGACCTTTTATAAAACTCCGGTATGCGCGTGTTCGTAATTTAGCTCTTAAACGGCTTGATTGATTTTGATGAAATTTTTATGGGGTACTTATTGGGTCTCCTGGACAGTTATTAGTTATAGTTGGACCCGGTAGGTGGCGCTGTTGTCGACAACCAGAGCACCCGTGCAAAGTCGGGGCATATCACTAGTACACTATAAGTAAAAATGTATTCGATTCTTAATTCTTTTTGTTTTCATTTTCATTGTATTAATCTTTAAAGTTTCCATTAATTTTTTGTAGTTATTACGAGTTGTCGTACACAATCAAAGGCTTGGCAATAAAATTGTTGGCATTATGACAACGGGTGGCCAATGTTTTTCTTCGAAAACTCTCGGCGCTAAAAGTTTACAGTGTTGCCAGACATAATGCCGGGGGAAGGCGCTTTATATTTCTATTAAATTAAAAGTATACCAGCAATACTATTAGCACTAATAACACTCTCGTTAACTATACTAAAACTATACTACAATTTAGTTTATAAGGCCTTCTTAATTTCAGAATCCTAGACTTTTGTCGCTTCTAAATTTGCTCTTTATTAGTTTTCAAATATTACAAAAGTAGTACTGGCTTAAGATTTGTCATTTCTGACTCGATTCTTGAGTGGCGTTGCTAGTCAGGAAGTTGTTCCTGATGGTAAGTAGACTGCATTAATCCTCGATTAAGAATCATAACGCAGATGCGTTGTCACCCCTGAGGACTAAGTTGAAATGCCTCGTTTCCAGTAAAAAAGGGTATCCGGATATCTACACTCACCATACGAAACTCAACAGTATTAACCCTATTTTACGATAGTATTTTGTGAGACCGTAGTCCTTCCCCGATCGAGCCGACCCGAACAATCATAATATAGCTGCAGCATGGCGCTACCACGCATAAGGTGTATATAGGTCGATAGTCTCTTGCCACGCTTTCTTTAAAAACAAATTTGTAATTATGAAAAACTGCACACACAATTTCAAATTTCATTTAATAATGTTAATAAGAAAAATTCTGGCAACTGTATCTATTTTTTTTTTATAAATTCCACCAGAGTTCGCTGACTCATATGTTATGCTAGTTCGCCATCTTATTATAATCACTATTTTCGGAATTACGACGCCTTGTTTCAATGTCGGATCACTGGAGGCGTTTCGAAGTATCAAAATAAATCTTCATGACCAATGCTTTGTGCTTTGAAAATATCTGAGTTATTAGAAGCGTAATAGATTTATAACTATGAGCTACATAGCGCAGATATTTTTATAACATCAATAGTAACCGATGATATTTAATTAATTGCAAGAAAGTATTATATTAATTCTATGTATAATATATATTAGTAAATGTACTTTCTGTGTAAGAATATCCACTACTCGTATCATCCCGTGGATGTCGAATGTAAACAGATCAGGAGATTTTTTAATAGAATTAGTGTGACAAACGAGCACACAGTCCACCTGATGGTGAGTGGATGCTGTGGCCCATAGACATCCACATTTATCCTCAATTAAGAATCAAAATGCAAATGCGTTGTCACCCCTGAGGACTAAGATGGAATTCCTCGACTCCAGTAAAAAGAATCTCCGGAAACTCACCATACGAAACACAACAGAATTACACTGCTATTTACGCTGGTATTCTGTAAGAGCGGCTCGAAAGGAGCAGGACTACGCTCTCACAGAATACCAACGTAAAATAGCAGCGTGTTGCTGCTGAGTTTCGTATGGTGAGTGTGGAGAACCGGAGACCCTTTTTACTGAAATCGAGGCATTACATCTTAGTCCTCAACGGTTACAACACATTTGCATTTTGATTTTTAGCTGAGGTTAAATTTGGATGTCTATGGGCCACAGCATTCACTTACCATCTGACTGTGTGCTCGTTTGTCACCTTTATTCTATAAAAAAAATATAGGTTGACCATGTTACTAATATTCATATTACAATTTTATGTACTTCTGTTTAGTCAAATTTATTTTAGTATATTATAATACCTTATATTATGATGTCATAGCCTATGTTAACAGCGATCCTATTAGCATTTATTTGTAAATCAAATATTTATACTAGTTTAACAATTACAGAATACTTAGGAACATACAGGTATATTAAAATATTATATCTACATTTGGACTCCACCACTGTAGAGCAAACAGTAAAATTTTAATCCTTATTTTGTTTTTAAATTTTCCTATACTCTTTGTAAATTAAAGTAAACGAAGCATGATTTTACGCTTTTATGTAAATTTACTGTCTGGACAATTTATTGATAGAATTATTTATAATATAAAATAATTTGTAAGTTTTTAACACAGCATGCTCAATAATAAAATGATTGCCAGATATTGTTAATTGCAACAATGATCAATCTAAAAATACTGACATGTGCAATATACCACTAGATACGTCACGTTCATTGTCACGATCACAAACCGCATAGACGAACCTTGGACAGCGAGATTAAACGAGACAAACGCTAGGAAGTCTGGCCATACGGCCAAATTTTAAGTCTAAATTTGTACACCAATCTGGCAAGAATAGCATTTTAATTTTCAGTTGTTCATGTCTTGCCCTGGTGTCACATCGCTGCATCCCGTTCCTTATCACCCGCACGATCTCCGAAGAACATTAACCCTTATCTCACACACACCATAGTTCGCGCCGCAAAGAATGGGTCTGATGTTGTCTATTGTGTTATCATACGCGGGGATACGCGACGCTATCGAATGCTTGAAGCACATTATTAGAGGTGTCGTGCCTGATGACGAACCAAACTTTCAAGATCTTATCGAATACTACTCAATACTCCTACGAAAGTCGGCCAATCCGTCGTCGCCTGGAGATTGGATAAAGGAATGCGGTCAGGGATATCTATGCCTATCGGAAGATAAAAATGGATCACTAAAATCCGCCGCTGTTAAGTACTACGGTCAAACACGTTCAGCGGCTATTTTGTTCTCGACAAAAATCTCTAGTTTCGGGCAAGAATCAGTCGAAGAAAATTCCCAGGCAAACGGAGACTATAGAACGGAAAATTATACGCCGACGAAAACTAAAACACTTATATCGAACACGTCCGAGTCCTTCAGCGTAGGGCCAAGGAATAAATTAAATAGGTCCCAAAATACCGTAGAAGCGAAATATGCTGATAACTCTGTCGAAAACGAGCACAAAACAGATGAATCTGCTGAAAACAAAGAAAGATTATCATGGCATTATAAGCCTTTAAGTGCGGCGCAAAAGCCACTACCCGAAATACAATTCCAATCATACGATGTAGACAGGGCGGAGAGCACTGCTTACAGCGACGAATTTTTAAGGTTAATATTCAGTCATTTAATTGAGCATGGTATGCGTGTGTTATATAATAATAATTCAAATTCAATCGCATATTCGTTGCATATTAGATAGCATTAAATGCGTACATTCTCATCAGCACCAATGCACGTCATGTATACGGAATCACAGTTTCACATGTACGATACCGACTCATGTATTATTGTTAATTTGTTTAAGATCACTTGATGGGATTAAGTTCCGTCCTTTGCAACGAAATGACCCAAGTTGGCGTCGCAGGAGTTTTAGGAAACGTCATTCTTCCTCTTCTAATTCATCAAGAGATTCCAGAGCATCGCGTGATGAAGAACTGAAAATGTTCACATCGCTCGAAGAGGAAGAATTTAAAAAGATGAATGAAAACGACAACTTTGGGAGGTTTGGAAGCACGCCTAATTTATCGACGCGTTCTTATTCCAGAAGTCGATCGAGGGAGAAGTCAAGGGAAAGGAAAACGGACAATTGGAGCATAGAAGAGACTGTTGATGGCACGGTAGAGGAAGAAAATACAGAAAGTAAACCGAAGCTTAAAGGTCTACCGAAGTTAGATTCATTCGTGGAGGAGAAAGATGAAACCAAAGAGTTCAATGAGGTAACTGAGGAAACAGAAGAAGACATTGATTTCTGGGCTAAATTCGGAGATTAGTGCTTGGACCTAACGTCGCTCGCATTGTTTATGAAGCTTCGATACAAGCATGACTGATTTGAATTAAATATAATGAGGCCTTTCCCCGCGTTTTGTCTTTTTTTACATTCCGTAATGCTATAGTACATTCCTTTGCGACGGGAACCTTGTGTATTCGTTTACGCTTTAATTGTTTTGGCTTTGTTAGAAATTACAAAAATGTATAGAGTTGCTTTCAAAATCTCTGTAACTACAAAACATAAAACCTTTTTGACACTCAGTACATGTACATTTTAAACCAAATACTACATATATTATAAAATAATTCGTTATATGGTCTTTTAATGTAAGCAATGTTTTCAATTTCAAGCTTTAACTTATATATGTCCAAAGTATGATACTTAGATAGATAATCTATAATGAGATATTCATTGCCTAAATACTAAGAATAAACAGAACTCCACAAAATTAGTGATTAAACTTTTATGGGGCCATAGCTCTATGTATGGGGTAATGTATAGATAAGATTTTGCAAGTTTTAAAACTAATCAAGCTTAAAAACTTCATAAAAAGGTACTTAATAATGATGTTAAGGAATAAATTAAATAAATTACCAGTGAGAATAAGGTGATACAGGTCGTTTTTATAATATTTTTTTAAGGAAACAATACTAGAACAGTGTTATTGTGTTTATTTTTTTTTTAAATCCTGCTGGGATTCTTACTGGGCAAAGGTATTTCCCGAATCGAGTGTTTAATACAAAATTTAACAAAGTAGTAAATATTGAATAACAAAATAATATGATAGTAAAGCCCAGGATGAATTACAGAGCAAGACTTATTCACACAGATTGCATCTGTTTTGACGCGTTGAACACAACAAAACAGTCTTCGATTTTAAACTAGGTTAACTTACTCTATAGGTCGTTACCGATTTGTTAACTTTGTCGCATTGGAAGCGAGTTGCATAATCCAAACGAAAATATCCACATGGTGAAACAAGGACCTCGACCCACTTATATTTTAATGAAGATGACGCTGCTCGACATTTCATTGCCGCCTCCCATCATTATGGGATTATCTATTGACGTAATTAATTATATTTTACATTTGCTATGGTAGACTAGATATTTAAAAATTTTAAAGAAAAATATTAATACTGGAACACAGTAAGTCTCTCTTTTTACACGTGACATTCCATCTTAGTTCTCAGGGGTGATAACTCATCAGCATAACATTCTTAATCGAGGATATATGTACTTAGATGTTATATGTCATAGCGTTCACTTACCATCAGGTGGACTGTGTGCCCGTTTGTCACTCGTATTCTATAAAAACAATGAGGACTTGCTACTACACTACATACTTAAACTACATTTATATAAAGGAGCTTTGCAGTTGTGTCAGTTGTGTGTTTACAAGTTAATATAGACGTAATATGAATAAATTTTGAGCACATTTACGTTCACACACCTACCTAATATATTAATCCTTCCTAAATAAATCCTTATCCATAAGTTTTCTATTTTTTATTATTTGGTATGCTGCGTCGGTAGCCTTTTTTTGCTGCAATCCAGTGCGATCCTTTTTTTTTAAGTTATTGTAGCAATTATTAAACATGTAAATACGTGATAGAGCCATGCTTTCCGTGCTTTAGCTATGTTATGGTTGTAGATCGAATGAGTCGGCTCGACCGTAAGGACCACGCTCTCATTGAATATCAGTGTGAAATAATAGCTTAATGCTGTCGTGTTTCGTTGGCGAGTAGAAAACTGAAAAATATTTTTAAAGGAAACGAAACATTTCATCTTAGTCCATAGAGCTGATAACGCGTCTGCATTTTGATTCGTAATCGAGGATAAATGTAGAGGTGTCTATGGACCACAGCATCCACTTACTATCCGGTGGACTGTGTGCTCGTTTGTCACCCTAAATCTATAAAAAAATAGAAAATATAAGTATTCTATATGAAAAATGACGCGTTTTTATAAGGTATTACCCACGAGCGCATATTTTCAAACGTAGCAGCATGCAGCTAATTTTCCTGTGCTGCGGCTTAGAAAACATAACAGGAGCGCGATATTGTTACTGCGGTTGTAACAAACACAGGCTTCCTGGTGTAATACAACACGTCCTATATTTGTTTCAACGGTAGACAAAAGTGCGGTGAATTTTACGACAGGAAACCGGCACCTGGCACTGCTTCTTAAACACCATTTTGTCTTTTATTTATTTCAGTGTTATGTTAGCAGTTATGAAGATTTTATGATAGTAAAGATTTGAATTTTATTTTATATTGTACTGTTTATTTCCTAAATAATGAATAATTTATTCTTTATCATTTTCTTCGAAGTTATTGCTTGGCGCTGGTGTCGATTATTAAGATGTGTCCTTTGTGCTTAAGATGAAGATAGAAAATTAAGGAAATTAGTAGAATAAGAATATATAGAGAGATATGCACCATTGAATATAAAGGTATATATCGTAGCGTTTTCGCGTTTATCACCCATCCCCGCGATAAGAAAATGGAATTTTCTCAAAAAAGAAATACTATAAACATAGCGGATTGAAAATGCAAACACTTTGCTAAGAAATAAAAAAAACTAATTGCAATTGAATGACGAGAAGTTAGTAGAATTTTTAGTAACTTTTAATGTTCAAGTAATTCAAAAACATGATTAGCCCGCCAACGGGTTTTACCGCATCGTGACTGACTCTTTTCTGTTCCAAAACCATTTAAAATGGAAGGTCTGAGCCCATCATAATTTAATTTTGGTTGTAATGGCACCATAACTGCAGTAACATTTGTCTTACAATTTATCAGCTACCCAACAATTGTATTATGGATCGTACTGTGTGTTGGCGTTATACGAGTATCCATCACGCCATTTTCTCTCGTGGGTGGCGTAAGATGCTACAGTGGGAAACACCAAAAAAATCTTATGGCTTTCGATAGGTGGCGCGGTTTAACCATTTCATTTACGTCAGACCTAAATTTCTCTCACCGTCGACAGCATAAATATATAAAACAATAGCAGATAAAAAAGAAGAATACTCATGGGATAAAGATTGACATTTTTTATAGAATAAGGATAACAAAGTCCACCTGATGGTACGTGCTTCGACCCTCTATCTAGACATCTACATATATCCACGATTTGGAACTATTCTCGAATCATAATGCAGAACGCGTTGTCACCTTTGCCTACAATGTGGCAAACCTACTTTCCACTAAAAAGAGTCTCCGGTTCTGTACACTCACTAAACAAACAGCAGCATACAGCTGCTATTTCACGTTGGTATTCTGTGAGAGCATCGGCAGCGTACAGCGTAGCTCTATCACCTTTTTTATAGAATAAGGGTGACAAGCACACATCCCACCTGGATGTTAATTGGATGCTGTGGCCGATAGACGTGTACGTCTATCCTCGATTAAGAATCAAATGCAGCATTGAGCTACTGTTTTACGCTGGTATTCTGTGGGAGCGTTGTCCTTCCCCGATCGAGTCGATCAAGTCCTGCTATAACTATTATATAGCTGCTATATGGTTTACCTTAGGCGCTTAGAGACTTTTCACTAAAGCTATGTACAATTTATTTATATTATACACAGTAGTTTTTTTAACTAACCTTGAACGTGAAGTGCGGACTGCAGGTGGTAGCTAAAATAAAATTAACTTACACCAAAACAAAGACATTTCACTCTACAATGTACTTTCGTCGTTTCTTTTTTTTCCTCTTGATAATATTAATTTGTCTTCGTCAGTCATTCTAGCTGTGTGCAGCATAAATAATATTATTGTCTTTTTTCTCTGTTTCCTGCCATCACCGGCCATTTTCGTCACAGGCTGAAATATTATTAGACTGAACGCATTGCCAAGCCAAACTCAATCCATAATATAATTAATACATAAGCGCAAAATTATTTATACATCAAAAAAAAAAAAAAATATATATATAAACACTCACGCCTGTCACCCAGAGAGGTAGGCAGAAACTACACACATCTCTCCCCCCCCCCACACCCCCAGGGGCTCCCCCCGCAACATAAATATGCCTTGTCACTCTTTTCTCATTCATTCTTTCTACATGACCAAACCACCGATGCATTCCTTTCTAAATCCTGATCACAACATCGTCTTGCAAACCTTCACTCTTCTTTTATTATGCCGATTAACATACAAAACGACCTTGATTCCAAGAACTGATTTGCCACACGTGCCTTTTTTGACACATTCTGACTTTTCACAATAGAGTGTAGAGCCCCATTTACTTTATTTCCTGCGTCCACTCGTCCTATATCTATATCCTTATCATATGTCCCATCCCTGTTGAATACAAATCATAAATATACAAACTCTTTACTTCTCTTTTATTTGCTCGAGCATATATATATTAAAATATATAAAAAAAATAGCATTGACGTGGTATATTTATGAGGTGCCTCTTATGATTTATAGAAAATTCATTTAAATGTGCCGAACCCAAATCTTATTGACTGTGACTGAGTAGAAATATCAGTGCGAGGGTATCGACTCTGAGCACATTATGAACTTGCTCAGGCTCCCAGCATTTTGCAAGTCTTCAAATAGTTGATGGTTGTACCTGTTTATTCTGCAGTGGACTTATATTGCTAATGCACTTGTTCTGATGATTGGTCTTGCTCTGTGAAGTTATGAGTATAAATAAACAAATAAAATTTACAGAAATATATACAAAACATTTTTTTTACAAGAAACCTAAAATAGTTTTATTTAAATCCAAAATTAGTCATATTCATAGTCATTTATTCCATAAACAATACACATTGTGGATAAGAAAACATAATTAAAACTTATAATATGAAATAAATGTTTCTTTTGGAGAATAACATAAAAGCAACTGGTGTCATTGCTTTTTATCTTAAAAAATATGATTCTATTTTTAATTTCTGATTAATTATGAGTCTTTTGAGTGGTAGAGCCACGTTGCAGCTATATTATAGTAGTAGCACGAATGGGTAGGAGCACGCTCTCACAGAAT